GGGGTGCGCAGGGGGTGGTCTCTCAGCGCGGCCTCTACGCGTGCCAGGGTCGGAGAGCGTGGCAGGCGTGGCACTTTCTCGACACCAGAAGGGTTGCGCAGGGGGTGGTCTCTCAGGGCGGCCTCTATGCGTGCCAGGGTCGGAGAGCGTGGCAGGCGTGGCACTTTCTCGACACCAGAGGGGGTGCGCAGGGGGTGGTCTCTCAGCGCGGCCTCTATGCGTGCCAGGGTCGGAGAGCGTGGCAGGCGTGGCACTTTCTCGACACCAGAGGGGGTGCGCAGGGGGTGGTCTCTCAGCGCGGCCTCTATGCGTGCCAGGGTCGGAGAGCGTGGCAGGCGTGGAACTTTCTCGACACCAGAAGGGGTGCGCAGGGGTTGGTCTCTCAGCGCGGCCTCCGTGCTTGCCAGGGCCTGAGGGCGTGGCAGGCGTGGCACTCGCTCGGCACCGGAGGGGGTGCGCGGGGGGGGTCTCCCGGCGCGGCATCTATGCGTGCCGGGGGCAGGCGTGGCACTTTCTCGACACCAGAAGGAGTGCGCGAAGGGGTGGTCTCCCAGCGCGGCTGTTGTGCGTGAGTGGGTCGGAGAACGTGGCAGCCGTGGCACTTTCTCGACACCAGAAAGGGGTGCGCAGGGGGTGGTCTCTCGGCGCGGCCTCTATGCGTGCCAGGGTCGGAGAGCGTGGCAGGCGTGGCACTTTCTCGACACCAGAGGGGGTGCGCAGGGGGATGGTCTCTCAGCGCGGCCTATATGCGTGCCAGGGTCGGAGAGCGTGGCGGGCGTGGCACTTTCTCGACACCAGAGGGAGTGCGCAAGGGTTTGTCTCTCAGCGCGGCCTCTATGCGTGCCAGGGTCGGAGAGCGTGGCAGGCGCGGCACTTGCTCGACACCAGAGGGGGTGCGCAGGGGGTGGTCTCTCAGCGCGGCCTCTGTGCGTGCCAGGGTCGAAGAGCGTGGCAGTCGTGGCACTTTCTCGACACCAGAGGGAGTTCGCAAGGGGATGGTCTCTCATCGCGGCCTCTATGCGTGCCAGGGTCGGAGAGCGTGGCAGGCGTGGCACTTTCTCGACACCAGAGGGGGTGCGCAAGGGGGTGGTCTCTCAGCGCGGCCTCCGTGCGTGCCAGGGTCGGAGAGCGTGGCAGGCGTGGCACTTTCTCGACACCAGAGGGGGTGCGCAGGGGGTGGTCTCTCAGCGCGGCTCTATGCGTGCCAGGGTCGGAGAGCGTGGGGGCGTGGCACTTTCTCGACACCAGACCAGGGGGGGTGCGCAGGGGGTGGTCTCTCAGCGCGGCCTCTATGCGTGCCAGGGTCGGAGAGCGTGGCAGGCGTGGCACTTTCTCGACACCAGAAGGGGGGCGCAGGGGGTGGTCTCTCAGCGCGGCCTCTATGCGTGCCAGGGTCGGAGAGCGTGGCAGGCGTGACACTGTCTCGACACCAGAAGGGGTTGCGCAGGGGGGGGTTTTCAGCGCGGCTTCTATGCGTGCCAGGGTCAGAAAGCGTGGCAGGCGTGGCACTGTCTCGACACCAGAAAGGGGTGCGCAGAGGGGGGTCTCTCAGCGCGGCCTCTATGCGTGCCAGGGTCGGAGAGCGTGGCAGGCGTGGCATTTTCTCGACACCAGAGGGGGTGCGCAGGGCGGGGTCTGTCAGCGCGGCCTCCGTGCGTGCCAGGGTCAGGGAGCGTGGCAGGCGTGGCACTCTCTCGACACCAGAAGGAGTGCGCAGGGGGTCTCTAAGGGCGACCTCTATCCGTGGATTCTGAGCGCGGCTATCTATCGTCCCACAACAGGGCATGGCATATTCTCGACACCATAGGGGGTGCGCAGGGGGTGGTCTCTGACCGCGGCCGCTATCCGTGACGGTCGTCCAGGGCACAGCCGGCATGGAATGTTCTCGACACCATAGGGGGTGCGCAGGGGGTGGTCTCTGACCGCGGCCGCTATCCGTGACGGTTGTCCAGGGCACAGCCGGCATGGAATGTTCTCGATACCATGGGGGGTGCGCAGGGGGTGGTCTCTCACCGCGGCTGCTATCCGTGACGGTCGTCTGGGGCACAGCCGGCATGGCAGATTTTCGACACCATAAAGGGGTGCGCAGGGGGTGGTGTCCGAGTGCGGCCGCTATCCGTGACGGTCGTCCAGGGCATAGCAGGCATGGCACATTCTCGACGCCATACGGGGTGCGCAGGGGGTGGTTTCTGAGCGCGGCCGCTATCCGAGCCGGTCGTCCAGGGCATAGCAGGCGTGACATACTCTCGACACCATGGGGGGGCGCAGGGCGTGGTCTCTGAGCGCGGCCGCTATCTGAGCCGGTCGTCCATAGCATAGCAGGCGTGGCATTTTCTCGACGCCGTAAGGGGTGTTGCAAGTCGTGGATTCTGAGCGCGGCCGTTATCCGTGACAGTCGTCCAGGGCACCGCAGGCATGGCATATTCTCGGCACCATAGGGGGTGCGCAGGGGGTGGTCTCTGAAGGCGACCGCTATCCGTGACGGTCGTCCAGGGCACAGCAGGCATGGCAGATTCTCGACACCATAAAGGGGTGCGCAGGGGGTGGTGTCCGAGTGCGGCCGCTACCCGTGACGGTCGTCCAGGGCACAGCAGGCATGGAATGTTCTCGACACCACAGAGGTTGCGCAGGGAACGGCCACCAGTATCATTCTCACATGCTTCACTTCAGCTGTCATCACTCCAGCCATAATGTAAGTATGTGGGGTTCCTCGGTAGCGTAATTGTTTGTTCGTCCTGTGTTTGCGCATCGTCGGCCGGCGGCCTTCGGTGGCCGGCTATGCTGGCGGCTCGTTCTTCCGAAGCCCAAGGCAGCTACTCACCGACATCCGTGCCTGCGGGGGCGATCGCAGAGATTCGCAGAGCACAAAGCGTGCGGGGGGGCGCCGGAGAGGGCTGGCCACAGTCTTCGTGGATGCCCAATTATGAGGCGTTCCAAAAAAGGCCTTGCCTTCGAGGATAGAAAGAGTTGTCACCTCTTCCGCCGCGGAAGGCGGCGGAAGGGCGGCGGATGGTCGGCGGAAGTAAAACGAGGCCGCCTCCGCCAGCGGAAGCCCGGCGGAAGGCGGCGGAAGTGAAAAATGCGTCCCCAAGAGATGAAAACGCTTTTGGGTACAGGGTTTCCGAAATCCGCCAAGTGGGACCGATTCTGGGGGTCGTCACGGGGAGAGCGAGACACGTGAGGCGTGCGCCAGAGCAATGCAGCCACAGTCTTATGCTGGCGAGCCCACTTGGGGGAACGAACAATGACATAAGCATAAGAAGTCGGAGTCCCTCGCAGGTTTCTCGGATCGGCGCTGGACCCCCTTGCGGCGCCTCCGGCGCCGCCCCTGGCGCGCCCCGCGCGCAATGGAGGGGGGTCCAGCGCCGATCCGAGAAATCCGCGAGGATCTCCAAGTTCGTATGTTTATGTCATTGTTCGTTCCGCACCACTGGGCCGCACTTGTCAGGGCACGACGCGAGTGCGGCAGAACAGTCCAGCCGCTGGTCCAGCCGTAGTATGCGGGCGGCATGCCCACTGCAGCCGTAGCTCGGACTCCCTCTGGGGCACAAGACGTGAGATTTTGGCCGCAGTATGCGCACGCCGCAGCGCTGCCCTTTCCGAGGTAGCCACCCAGCCCCCGCTTTTCCAAACGGCCCCGTGCCCAAACATATGTTCCTTCCATGTATCTGTCTTTCGTCACGGCGAGACGTGAGGAAAAAGGCTCGTAAGAGCGGTTCGTTGTCGATTTCGTCTTCTTAACTAGTAACCTGCTTGGGGGGCATCGCCGTCGCTGTCTCTACCATTCCCCAATCAGTGCTTGCTCTTAGGGGGTCCTGACGGAAATTGTATAATTTGGCGAAAGATGCTGGTCGATTTCGGTAGGCGGCTGGGTTCCTTGGTTCCCGCTTCCGCGTTCTCAAGCCCCAGTTGCTGTTTCCCGATCGATTTCGGTTGGCGGCGGGGTTCCCGGGGTTTCAGGAGTTCCCGGTCGATCAACCTATCGATATCATTATCGATATTTTTCCATGTCGTTCAGCCGATCTCACTATCGATATGATCGATTTCACGATCGATCTCACGATCGATATCAGGATCGATCTCACTATCGATCCCACCCAATCGATATCACTATCGACCTCACTTTCGATATCTCTATCGATCTCTCGATCGATCTCACTCAATCGACCTCACTACCAATTTCACCATCGATCTCACGATTGATCTCACTTCCGATCTCACTCAATGGATCTCACTATCGATCTCATTGTCGCGAGCATAACATGCATAGCATATAGCATAGCACGGGGCACCCCCGCGCCATAGGACACCGCTGGACACCACGAGACACCACGGGACACCATTGGGACACCATCGGGACACCATCGGGACACCATCGGGACACCACAGGGCCACTGCCGGCCAACGCGGGGGACAGCAACGTTAGGCTCGGCTTTGCCCTGGCAGCGGCGGCTTCATTCCTTTCGCTCGCCCACGCCACTTTTCCGCGCCCGCCCGCACGACACGAACACGAAACCGAAATCGATCTTCCGGGGGGAGGTCTCCGTTTCATTGCAATCTCACCCCCCAACCTCCGGTATAGAGAGGGGAAGAAAGAGAGAGAGAGAGAGAGAGAGCGAGAGAACCAAACAAGTATTATGGACAAGAAGAATGAGAGAGACATACTCTATAGAGAGACAGAGAAAAAGAGAGAGAGAGGGAGACACATATACATTGCGTGTATGTATACATCTTTGCACAAAGAGGGCAGTATAGAGAGAGTTGTACATATTCTGATACAGGGAGGGAGAGAGAGAGAGAGAGAGAGAAACAAAAAAAGAAAGAAAGACAGAGAGGAACATATCATAACTCGACTGGTTTACAATGCACATTCGAATTCGAGTTGGGCGGGAGGAAATCCGATCGAGGTAATTGCGAACAGTTCAGAAATTCACTGATTTGGGTGTTCTCTGGTGGAATTTACTTCGTTCAGCTCTCCAAAGAAATCCTTCTGCGGTCCGTAGCCATTTGGGCTCAAGGGGGTCGTTACCGTTACCGTCAAAAATTGGTGATTGGTCCATCGGGGGAATGGCCGTCGCCTTCCGCATCGTCTTGGCCCTGCTGCCGCTGCTCTCTGGCGCCATCGTCGTCAAGGAGCATCCCGACTCCACCGATGCCAAGGCCGTGGAGCAGCCCCAGCAGGTGGCCCTGATCCAGCAGCACGCGGCCATCGCCGCGCACAGCTCCGGGATCCCATTCATCGCGACCTCGATACAGCTGTCGCTGACGCAGATCATGCAGCCGGTCATGGAGAAGCTGCACGCGCTCAAGGAGTGGATCACCGAGCAGCTGACGGCGCTGGACAAGGGCCTCAACGCCACCTACGCCATGCCCAGCGAGGCGCTCGAGCTGTTCGCGACCAAGTTCAGCACCATCTTCGTGGCGGTCGATGAGAAGCTGCAGCCGATCACCAGCAAGCTGTCGGCGGCCAGCCCAGCCATAGACGGCCTGAACAAGGTGCTGCAGGCCACCGGTGCCCCAGGCGTCGCGGACAAGATCACCGAGGTGATGGATGCGATGAGCAAGAAGGCCCAGGAGTACCAGAAGACTCTGAGCAGCAGCATCGCCGTCGCAGACGGCCTGAAGAACCTGACCAAGAGCGACTGGCACTCGGCGGGCCCGAAGATCCAGGAGCTCAAGGCGCGCCTGGACACCGGCGCGGCGGCGATCAAGGCCTTCGGCGACGCGTTCCAGGCGAAGGTCGAGGAGGCGCTGGCGCTGCTGGCTGGCAAGCTGGGGGTGGAGGCGAGCATGTTCTCCCCCGTGTCGAAAGCCGCCGGCGACGGTTGGCAGGACCTGGTGGGCGGTTCTCAGGAGGAAAATAAACACACAGACACAATTAATCTTCGATTTCCCAGAAAATATAGGAAAATATTGGAAGTGGGCGGGAAGACAGAAACCCAGAAAATATGGGAAAATATGGGGGATTATTTTATTTGTGTGTATTTATTGGTGTGTCCCAGGGCCCCTTCAGGTTCGTCGATGCTGGCCGCCGGCGTGGTGTCCTCCGCGCAGGCGCTGCCCCCCCAGATCCTGGAGGCCGCGCCCGAGGCCAAAGACAATTCGGGAGCCGCGGCGGCCAGCGCCTTGGGCGCCTTCGCCGCAGCGGCCGCCTCGCTCGTGCTGTGAGCGGCCTCCTGAGAGGGTGGCCCCGCGTCACGCCGCGAGGTTCGGGACCATGGCAGGATCCTCGCCTCGCGGCGCCGCGCGGGCGTGCCTTCCCCCCCCCTCGCCAACCCACGGAGGCGCTTGGCCTGCCCCCCCCCCGCGGAAGAAAAAAAAACAGCGAATTGCATGTTTGTGGTTCGCTTACGTCCTTCAGTTTATGTTCCAGTCTGTAAAATTCTGCAAGTCGCAAAAACATGCATCTTTTGTCGTGGCGTACCAGCAAAAGAGAATCAATTGCACATCCACAACAACATGATTTGACCTGTAAACGCACGACAAGGAAACGAAATGCATGGTACATGCACGACAAAAAATATTGAATTGCAAGCCCGCCAGGGAAGTAATTTGGTTGTAAAACGCACACAAACAGAAGTAAGCGCTGAACAATGTCTGCAATGAATGAAACAAACTTGGAAGATGATATTCACCGAACCACAACATAGTGATCATCGTGTAAAGCCGCCACAACAGGAAATTAGTGGCAAATCCTCTTCTCAACAATGAATATGATTGCAAATCTCCCCAACAAAATTTCAGCGTAAGGCCCGCGCAAAAGAAGCCATTGAGGAGCTCAGTTTGTCATCTCGCCCTGCTATGGCGACCCAACAAAAAGAACGTATTTGTAAATCCTCGCGTGAAGCCGCCGCAATAGATGCAAGTGTAAACTCGCTATGAGATGTAGATCACCGCTCCGCCTCCCAGGCTACACTCGTACTTTTATTACTTATACTTCCACTAGTAGTAGTACGAGAACTAGTAGTAGGAGTAGTAGCAGTCGTCGTCGCACTAGTAGTAATAGTAGTAGTAGTCGTAGTAGTAGTAGTAGTAGTAGTAGTAGTAGTAGTAGCAGTAGTAGTAGTAGTAGTAGTAGTAGTAGTAGTAGTAGTAGTAGTAGTAGTAGTAGTAGTAGTAGTAGTAGTAGTAGTAGTAGTAGTAGTAGTAGTAGTAGTAGTAGTAGTCGTAGTAGTAGTAGTAGTAGTAGTAGTAGTAGTAGTAGTAGTAGTAGTAGTAGTAGTAGTAGTAGTAGTAGTAGTAGTAGTAGTAGTAGTAGTCGTAGTAGTAGTCGTAGTAGTGGTAGTAGTAGTAGTAGTAGTAGTAGTAGTAGTAGTAGTCAGCAGTAGTGGCAGCAGTAGAAGCAATAGTCGCAGTAGTCGTGGTAGTAGTAGTAGTGGTGGTAGTAGTAGTAGTAGTAGTAGTAGTAGTAGTAGTAGTAGTGTAGTAGTATAGTAGTAGTAGTAGTAGTAGTAGTAGTAGTAGTAGTAGTAGTAGTAGTAGTAGTAGTGGTAGTAGTAGTAGTAGTAGTAGTAGTAGTAGTAGTAGTAGTAGTAGTAGTAGTAGTAGTAGTAGTAGTAGTAGTAGTAGTAGTAGTAGTAGTAGTAGTAGTAGTAGTAGTAGTAGTAGTAGTAGTAGTAGTAGTAGTAGTAGTAGTAGTAGTAGTAGTAGTAGTAGTAGTAGTAGTAGTAGTAGTAGTAGTAGTAGTAGTAGTAGTAGTAGTAGTAGTAGTAGTAGTAGTAGTAGTAGTAGTAGTAGTAGTAGTAGTAGTAGTAGTAGTAGTAGTAGTAGTAGTAGTAGTAGTAGTAGTAGTAGTAGTAGTAGTAGTAGTAGTAGTAGTAGTAGTAGTAGTAGTAGTAGTAGTAGTGGTAGTAGTAGTAGTAGTAGTAGTAGTAGTAGTAGTAGTAGTAGTAGTAGTAGTAGTAGTAGTAGTAGTAGTAGTAGTAGTAGTAGTAGTAGTAGTAGTAGTAGTAGTAGTAGTAGTAGCAGTCGTGTCTTCGGTAGTAGTAGGAGTAGTAGTAGTAGTAGTAGTAGTAGTAGTCTAGTCGTAGTAGTAGTAGTAGTAGTAGTAGCAGTCGTAGTAGTAGTAGTAGTGTAGTAGTAGTAGTAGTAGTAGTAGTAGTAGTAGTAGTAGTAGTAGTAGTAGTAGTAGTAGTAGTAGTAGTAGTAGTAGTAGTAGTAGTAGTAGTAGTAGTAGTAGTAGTAGTAGTAGTAGTGGTGGTAGTAGTAGTAGTAGTAGTAGTGGTAGTCGTAGTCGTAGTCGTAGTAGTCGTCGTAGTAGTAGTCGTCGTAGTAGTAGTAGTTGTTGTTGTCGTCGTCGTCATAGTGGTAGTACGAGTAATAGTAGGAGTAGTAGTGGTAGTAGTAGTCGTCGTAGTAGTAGTAGTTGTTGTGGTGGTGGTGGTAGCCATCGTAGTAGTAGTTGTGGTCGTGGTTGTGGTGGTCGTAGGTAGTCGTAGTTCCAGTAGCCGCAGCAATTCCTACTGTTTTTCATTATGTCGCAGTTTTATTCGTATTGTAAGTGGTGTAGTTTCTGCCGCCTCATTAATTGTAATCAGCAGTTCCAGTAGTGAATGTCTTCGTGTTTTCAGGGCATGTTTAGTTGTAGTCGTACCTTCAGTAGTTTTAGTAGCCTCCAGTTCCGACCCGTAGTCTCAGTTTCAGTCATTTCCATTGCGGGGTACTTGCGCTCCATTGCGTGTGGCTAAACGCCGTCTGGAAGATATACACGGGTGAGCGTGGAAGCGTCGGTGTTCAATAGTATTTTTGGTTTCAGCATCCATACAATTCACTTGCTCTCGAACCCTAGTGTTAGCACCTGTGGTTCTATTACCGTGCTTTTTCCACAGTCGGATTTGCATTCACATGCTCACTCGCGTTCGCATCGTGATCGCATCTGGGTTACCATGCACATTCGCTTACGACTCGTGGTAGAGCATCAGCTAAGTTGTGGGTCTATACTGTATGCGGTTAGTTGTAAATGCGCGTAAGAGCGCGCCGTGACAGCGCGAGAAGACAGTCAATAAAGCGCGCGATCGGTCCATGTTGCTGTCAGGATCCTGGTAGAAACCCATGCGGCTTCTAATATATTCTCTGCGGCCGCTTGGCGCTTTCCCTTTCTCGCTGACTTATTTCGTCTGGTCCTGGCCTCGTCGTCTTTCGTAACTCATTTGTCGGTTCTGGGACTCGCCGTTTCTGGGTTTTGCTGTCACGTCACCATGGGACTTCTTCAGAAGCGGTTGACTGATTGAGAAGCCTAGATTGGCTTTCTGGCCGAGTATTGTGCGAACGCTACGTAAAACCAGCTCCGCGCGTGCAGCTCGATGCACGTGCAGTCATTTGCACAGTTCTCGGAAATCGGACCAGTTTGTCAAGAGCTACACATTCAACTGAGATTGCGGATGCTGTGCTTCTGTTGCTCCTCATATGCATCCTTACGAGCTCAAGACCTACACATTCTGAGCTTCTCCGATTTGTGTCCTGGCCCCAGTTCACACTACCACTCATTCATTATGCATATGGGAAGGCACCTTGCGACGGCAGTGGCTTTATCTTGCTGCACTGCCGTGCATATCCGCCACCATGCTGTAGGAAGCTGCCCTGCAACATTGCAGCGCGGCACAATGGTAGCGCTGCGTGTATGGTTCGCAGTCTCTGATGGGCTGTCTCCGGGCATCCCAGTGGCTTCTTGGGAGCCTCCTCGAGGCTTCGTGGGGACTGGGGGATCTCGCTGTAGACTTGAGGATGCTTGGCGGCTGTGGAGGATTCCGGGTGCCATTTTGAGGAGTTCGCGGTCTTTTTGAGACCGCCAGTGGCTTGTCTCGGGCTGTCATGGTGCCGTTTTGAGTCGTCTCCGGGCGACGCCAAGCATACACCAGCACCGATTCTGACTAGGCCCGGGTCCTGATGTGCTTGCTTGGAGAAAGTTGCCCGGGGGTCCATAAGAAGCATCTTGAAGCCTGGCCGTGTGGGCAGGAGCAGCCAGAGAAGAAAATGTTTGGCCTCCAGGAGGTCTTGTGGAGAAATCCTTGATCCAGCTTTGCGCCAGGTATATCTATCTACCTTGCTCGGGTCTCCAGCCGTATTGTGATCGGCGGAGTTGCAGACTGGAGAGTTGGGGGCTCGCCAACGAGCGGGGGGACATCACCCCCCACCTACGAATCGTGGTGTTGGCACGTCTTCCTCGTATGCCAGAGAGCCTGACGACCTGGACCTGAAATTGAACGCATCTTGGCCTTGTCGTGGCGGGGGGTTTCATTGCCTTCTGCAGCCCAGACATCCGACGTCACGCTGGTTCCTGACGTGGGCCCCCTGGACCACTGCCCTGGGGCCTGTTTTCTATCCTTTGGCACGGCCATTGAAGGCCCTGAGGCCCGAGACTGGGCCTGGGATGGCTCTGGCCATGCATGGTGTCCCCAGGGGTCTCCTGGAGGCTTCCCAGGGCCTCCGAGGGCCCGGGAAGGGGTTCCGAACACCTTCCGAAAGGGGCCCTCGAGGTGCACGGCTGCCTTCTCCGTCCTGGAAGGCAGGGGAGGAGAACAGCGGCATGAAGCCAGGCCCAGGTTCGGCGTCACGCTGAGCTCGCGCTCGTAGTGTTGGCGAGCACCCAAGGCGGCCATGGCCCCCCGACGCGGACGCCCTGCGATGGCTGTGCCAAACCACCCAGCAACGCCCTGGACGTGGGCCGCCTCCCCCGCCGAGAGACGGCCCTTCTGGAGACTGGCACGCAGCTTCGCCTGGAGGTCCTCGCGGGCACCCTTCCGCCCAGCTCTGCCTTCGAGCCGGAGGCGGTGCCACAGGCCGTGGCCTCCACGTCGCTCGCACAGAGGCGCTCCCCCAGTGCGGGGCTGCGCCCGGGGAGGGGCCGGCGCAGGCGCCGAAGCGACGCGGGGCCACTCCGAGGGGCGCGAGGATCGCCGCGCTGCGCGCGCCGTGGCCTGGGCCGGGGAGCTGCTCTCCGGGAGGAGTGCAGCGGGAGGGCCCGGCCAGAAAGCGGCGCGTCGCGCAGCGTGCGGCGCTTCGTGCGCGGAGAGGCGACCCAGAGGAGGGGCAGAGAGGGGCCGGACACGCCAGCCGCGGCACACCGTGGCGGCGGACTCGTGGACGTCCGCGCCGTACAGCAGCGCGTCGGCGGCCTCAGAGCCGCGCAGCCGGGCGCCGACCGCTTCGGCGCCGAGCAGTCGAGCGCCGAGGGCTTCGACGACTCGGAGCTCGCCACGAAGAGAAGCCAGACTTCCAACAGCGTCATGCCCAGACCTCCGACGTCTTGAGCAAACATTAGAATGGCGAAGGACTCAACCATGTGCAGCTGTGAGTACCCCAGGGCAGGTGGAAACCAAGAGACGGGGCTAGCAAACTGACCAAGGCCTGCGTGAGAAGGACAGAGCCACGTTGCTGATGGGGTCGCGGAGGTCGA